ATTTGATCTCCTAAACAAATTAAGATATTTTATAAATCATTACAGACATATTACATCTCACATGTCGAATATTAAGTGACATACCACCAACACGTGTAATGGAAGTTGAAGTTCCTGACATCAGTTGCGTGTAACTGCGGTCAACCGCAACTTTTTCATTCGTAACTGCTACGTCGTCTCTAATCGGTAAGGACCAAGATGACATGTTGCTTCTTTCTGACTCCTGACTTGGAAGAATCGTTGTAGAAGCGTCGTTTGGTGCATTGCGAATTTCATCGACATCTTTATCGAGATTAATTGGTTTCTCTGTTTCTGGTTTTTTTTCTTTTTTAACGACGGTGCTTCGTCCTGACTTGAAGTTGTCACATACCTCTTTGGTTTTGTAATATTCCTCGTAGGACGTTGAATGTTTCTGCAATTCAATATTTTATTCTATTACTAGAAATTTTTTTAAATTACTATTTTTTCCAATATCTGCAATAAATTTTCGTAATATCAATAAAAGATAGTTCATAATATCAACTACAGTACTTACTGACTTAAACGAAATTGTTTCAACTTCTGAACCTTATAGTTAGCAACTCCAGCCTTAGAAAAGATGCTTGTTTACGACGTATATGAGTTTTGCGTTGGTTATTCATCTTTCAATGAGTCTCACTTACCTTTAAATGTAGTAATAAAAAAAAAAGGAATTTAAAAAAGTTAAACTCTATGCACAAAATTCCATTTAAATGCCGCAGTAAATACTTTTATCACCTTTTTAATGGCGATTTCTACTGTTCTTATCAGCTATCAAACATTTTGTTGCGTACAAATATTACAGATTTTTAAATGGATTATCTCTGCATTGATAAGAGAAATCAATATCATCATATTTTGACAATGTAATTTATACGCTTGACCAATGCATTAATAGACGTATCTTGTTTAATTTTATTTACACAAAATTAGTAATATAATTTATACACTAATAAAATATAATACAGTAAGGAACTTGTAAGAGTGGAATATGTACAGTGTTACGAATAATATTACTATGTTAGAATACTATACAAGTTTTATATATAATTTGAGTTATTTCGAGGAAACATTCATTCATTACTTTTATTTAATAATATTGGATTGTGTATATACTCATGTTTTTGCTCTTTTATTTTTCATTATCTCCTTTAGTGTTTCTTTGTTACTGTAGGTTCCTATAAAAGTAAGTTCCTATAAAAGAACTGATATAACATATTCACCAGGAACCGGCTTATCGGTTTCGGAATCACTGCTGGAATCAGAACTCTCGTCATCAATAGTTTTCCAATATAACATCATGTAACATTTTGCCCGCACATCAGTAATAGGTATTACATAAAAATCGATTGATAACGCAGAGCATTTATAAATATCTAATGATGATGATGAAATACCCACATCATAAAAATCTTCCATAATTTCGAATTTCTTTACCACAAAATGGTACGTTTCATTCATTTCTAATATGTTTTCGATGACACATACTGAAGAATCCTTTAAAATACAACATTTGTTGCCAAGTGAAGTAACATTAAAATACATACTTCCGGTTTGTATCTTTGTGTACTGTTGACAATGTGTAGGAGAAAATCCTAATGGAAGAGGACCTTCGCCATGCCGGTCGAACATTTGTATAACTGTTGCATTACTGTGTGCGGAATGTTCTTCCGCTCATGATTATTTATTTCCGCCTGTCTGAGGGCAAATTGCTGTAAAGCCTGATGAGGTTTTCTATACGAGCGTTTGAATAATTGCATATTATTTTCATACTTAAAAGCGGAAAAACTGTCAAGCGGACCAAAGCGTTTGACATCTGCCACCAGGTGTAGCAAAGCATGCACATTGTATGACATAAAAGAAAGTTTATAGAAAACTTGACATTTTTCAACAAATTTTTTAAGTGCTACTTCTGCACACTGTAACAGAGACATATTCGAAAATGTGTTACTGCAAAGCGTACGATTGCTGTATGTAGAAATAATAAATGAATATATGTTTGTTTTTCCATAATGCCAAGCATTACTGTAGGCCCAGTATATAAAATGAACTGTCGTCCCTCTGTGGCTTTATAATCCGAATAGTCGCTCAATGACCTAGGTTTTCTGGCGAAGTCCCGTGGACAATAATGGGAAAGAAGTTCAAGTCGTTTTGATACTACATCTAGGTTTCGGCCTGATAATTTTGTCTTTTTACCATATTTGCCCGTAATCCACGCCGTTAACAATTTCTTCACGACTCCTATACACACTAAGTGCATATAGTCTACGGGAACTTGTGTTACCATTCCCATAGGTAATCGGGATAAAGGGCTTTTTCCTTTATGATGATCGCGGTCTGTCATCCGAATGTACTCTTCATCGGTTCTTAAACGATGATTCGTACCTAAGAAGATCATTCGTTGCTCATATCGTATGCCGACAACTTTACATTTTCCGCATGCATGACTCGATGTGTGCCCATAATGATTTAATAACCAAGAACGTGCTGGAGCATCTGCGATGAATGCTCTCAGTGTAGTGGGAATTTGTTGATGACTAAATGTTATACCGCCCTTTTCAAAAACTTGCAATACATCAGTTACAAATTCATCCATAAATAAGTTAATGTCACCTGGTTTTTTATTCCCCATATAAATACCCACTATTTCCGGTTTGCTGTTACTTATATTGCTTATTGAAATTTGGATCGGCCAAATTTGCATTGTCCCACATTTGTTTAATTTCGCGCCGTCGGTACTCCAGTCTATTTCAAGAACGGAAGGAATCTGATTCGGTGGAGTTTTCTTCAGAATATTATTAATGCCTTTTTCAAAACCAATATGAAGGTATTGTCCTGGGTACATTGAACAAACTGCAATTCTGTCACGCGGCGTATTAAGTAATGATCTTGTATCTTTTGGTAGAAACGTATGGCATTTATGTGATCGTAATGTATTTAAGATTATATTCCCCTGTGTATGGGTCAGATTACATTTTATAAACGCTGATGCTAAAGATTCTTGAAATGTCTGATTTACAGTGTCCAAAGATATGTCATTATTGATTGTACTACTATAATCATTATCTACGATTGACATGTCATTGACTTCAAGATTTTGTTCACTTTCAACATGCATTAAATCATCATAAATATTTTCATTCGTATTTAACTCGATAGCAGAAGACACTGTTTCATTATTAGCAAGATTATCTGTTTCATTATTAGTAAGATTATCTGTCATGTCTACTGACAACATTAATTGTTCGGAATTACGCTGCTGTTCGTCGTAACATCTTGTTTGATAAAATCGCCTCATTTGCAACAGAACTCTTGATTGCCTCTTTGGCCCTAATTGAAAAATAGGCTTACGGCGTCTTTGAAATAAACTCATATTTAAAGATATGTTAATGTCCGACTAATATATATAAATTCTACAATATTATATCTGATTAGTGTATGTATTTTAATAATAGAGAATTATAATATTACAATAATATTGATAAGAATATTTACACAGGAGCGTATAATGGAAAATTTCGATAAAATATTGTACAATATGATATCAATTTTACATAACCTTACTTGCAGGAATTTATATTCAATTAAAAATCCAAATACCTGTACGGCCGTACTTATTGATAACGCAACGTATAGTTGACGTAGATATATATTCAAAGATGTATATTCAAAACTATCACTTTTGAATGTTAATAAAATATTGGTAAAAGCAATCTCGTGCTAATGCGTGCCAATGCGTGCCACGTGCCACACCTTTGACCGTTATATATAATCGTGGACTATGGATTGCTAGTTGGTGTACTAATAATAAAGATCTGTAGCGCCTTCATCTCCTAGTGGCAGAAATGTGAAACATACAAGTAAGACAGCAATACATATAATAGTAGAAGACGAGGAAAGGAATAAGTTATACGTCGTTGTGCCATACTTGCTCCACATTATGCGTTCACTCTAGAATATACATTTACAAAATTAACAAAATAATAATAATAATAATGGTTGCAAGACGCAATTAACATATTTAAACAGTTTTTAACAATTTAATAATATTTAAATAGTTTTTAACAAATATACGACAAAGCACAGACATCATTATCTTTTTCTATCACCGTCATGTTGCTCTTATGTTGTCGAAAATGAATGACAAAGCAAATGTTTTTCATGAATAGAAGTCATTTTGTTGGCAACAAAATGAGCAACAGTTGCTCTCCGTTTGCTCTGAATCTGCTGACACGAAATGTTTCAAATCTGCCCTCGTGTTGTTGAATACATATGACTATGCATTACGTTTTTAGCAAATATACAGCAACTAGTCGAAAATTCATGCTCAGCATTAAGTTGCATGATTTTGCAAAACATGCTTGGCTATCAGGGAATTTTATACAATGTTAATAATATTATAATTATTGTTATAACTGGCATATAATACATATATTTTTGTATTATATACTATATATATTACTTATATATTTGTTTAATATACTTGTTTTAATATTATTATATTAACATAATGCTATTGAAACTGTTAATACTACTGATATACGTATATAATAAATAATACGTACATAATAAAATCTAGAAAGAAATCTTAGAAAGAAATTAACTCAAATTAACTTAAACTATTTAATATTGCAAATTCAATTTTCATAAACTTAATTTTTTAATTTTTAACTTAACGTAAATAGATATCTTTGCACATTTGCATTTTTTAAAACCATATTATTACATATACCTAACATATGTATAGAGAGAGAGAGAGAGAGAGAGAGACAGGGAGAAAATCTATCTTATAAATATACATATGTCAAACAATATTAGTTGGCACATTTATGAAATATTTTCCTTGTCTACATCTCTCTCTTTAACATCTACATCTCTTAATTTGTTAAAAAGTGAAAGCACTTTATATTTAGTTGTGTTCTTACGTGATTTTGTGCCACAATCTGGATGAATATTTAAAAAATATTTTTGCATAAATTCTAAAGTACATCCACATTGCATAGGATATTCCATATTGAAGACATAGTATGAAGACATTAACATTTCTAGAGCTTCATAAAAACAATATGTCCTGTCAATTTGTGTTGCTTCTATAAATAAATAGAACATTCGGCGTTCCATATCATCTGTAACACACAATCAATCACGTACACATATAAAAATGTGACTGTAACTAAAAATTTTTAAACTAAGAATTATAAGATAAAATAACATATTACCTATGATTACAATGCATGGTGCAGCAATAGGTGCTTCTATTTCTTTCAAGGTTGTCCCCTCCTAAACAATAAATTAGTTTACACTTATAAAGTCATATAATATAATTAACAAAGTTATATATATATGTTTTAATGAGACTTACAGGATATGTTTTACATAATATATAAAAGTCTTCTTTAAAATGCTTCATAATAATTTTGATTAATTTAAGCTCTGTTAGCTCAGTTGAATTAATGATTTCTTTATAGTTTTTTAAACGTCCATAGGTAATTATTTTTTCCTGTTTCTTCAACATTTGTTCTTTCAATACAGTAATAGAGTGTCTTATTAATTTGTGGTAATGCCAGAATATATATTTTTTTTGTAGAAGTATTGGCCATGAATTTTTAATATCTTTTATCGTAGGTGATTTATGGACGTCATTAAGAAACAATCTTTGTGCAGGAAATGTTATTTCAAGATATGAATAAATTTTCTTTTGAGTCTCAGGATCATTTTCTAGAGCATCTGAAAGGTTACTTCTCGTCTGAGTCGGAGATTTTTCTTCTATAATATTTTCTGTTTCTGATTCAACATAATTGTCAGGCTGCCAATTGCTGCATCCAGCTTTAGCAGATAAAACTTTTCGTTGTTTTTTTAATGGTATGTTTAAACTACGGCTTAAAGATCTTTTCATGTGTGGTCTATTAAGATAGCAATTTCTATCACGAAGTTTTAAGTATAATGTATAACTTCCATCTCCGAAACTTTTACCTTCTTCATCCATATCCTTGAATGTTTGAGGATACTTTTCGATGACCTTTTTAGCTGTGATTTTGAATGCCTTGGATGGAATGAATTCTTGCACATTTCTCATCTCGGATACGATTTACAACAGCATGTATTATATATTTGTTGCGATTTCCTGCTTCTAATTCTTTAAGCACTGTAGATTCCAAATTGTGCCAAGGTATACGAAAGCTTGTCCAAACGTCATTATTATTCAATTGTACATTATGTGATACAGTTTTTGGCGATGAAAGATGTCGTGTACTTGATGAGGATGAAAAAGTAGACATGGAATCTACACTTAGGGTATCGCAGGATGCCATATTGTGTAATTCTGTTTCATTTTGAGGTAACCAAAATTCTTCTGCTTGCAATAACATAAAAGTTTCGCCAGAACAAAACTTTAAAACATCATTATCGTCAATATTTGTACCATCTTTTTCCATAACAAGAGTTGAACCGTTAATACCAAGCTTGCTGTTACTTTTTGCAATAAGTTCAGATAACATAGTATCAGATTGATTAATTACTAATGAGATTTTTTGTTTTCTATTAGCCGACCAAACTTTGAACAAATAAGACATCTACACAACAGAAAACATATACATATGTTATACATAATACTAAAAATAATAAACAATAAGTATTACTAAAATATTACTTACATAATACATTATAATCTTATAGATCAAGAGGTGCGTACTTGAAAATATAAACGGCAATGGAATTTAACTGAGTTTCAAGGATAGGATGTGGGGCAAGTAAAAATAAAGAGATTTTGTCGATTTTATGTTCTTGACTTTCTTTAACTTCGAATTGCTCGTATACTCCAAAATCAGAATTATATACAATTTTTATTGTGGTACCCAGAAAATATACATCTGTATAAGAATTATTTATTAAAAAATATTTGATTTTGCATATGATAAAGTAATCGTAACAGTCTTTTCCTACGCAGATACACATATTTGTTTTATATGTAATGCCTTTGAAAGTAATTTGAGAAGCTATATATTTAAAATGTTCATTCTTTTTATCATAAAAATAATCCTTTATAACGGAGGAAATATTGTTATTAAAATTTTCCGGAACATATTCTTCTGCACTATCTGCTATTACTAAAGAACATTATGTACTTTTTGGAAGTTGACTTTGTAAAAGTTGATGTTTATATGTTAACATTTTTGTTATATTCTTATAATTTTGCAACTGTTTAATGATGTTTTTAAAATATTTGTGTTTACTTTCAAATCTTAATGTCCACAAGTGTTTAAGTGGACCAAATAATGCAATTAAAAAAGGATAGTGAGAAATATAATGGTGCTTTGGTCTTAATTTTATGTTTGGAAAACATTTTACTCTTAGCAATAAATATTCATTGATTTTTTCTTGCAATAAGGCAACTTGATCAAACGATAATGCACAAGCAAAACTCAAGGAACAAATTTCTCGAAGAAGCAGTATTAATAACCAAAGATCATTTTCAGTATTTTTAATTGAATCAAAGATAGCTAAAGGAAGTATCAATAATAATCTGTTAATTTGACTTGCAGTACCTGCAATTTTGACCGAATCTTTTATGAATGGAATGTTGTTGTATTTATTTTCATTTATAAATTTAATTTTTTGCAATCGAGAATTTAAAAAGTTATAATTAAACCATTTTTCTTTAATAAAATATTTAATACAATACATAAGATTGTAAGGAATAATACCTTCTAATAGATCATGAGCTATGCAGGGTGGTAATCCCGGATTGCATACATGAAAATGATTGAGTTTATTCAAAGGTGAATCTTGCTTTATACCTTTTACGATTTTCATAGTTTGTTCCGCTTGTTTCACATATAAATTGTAACTGTCGGGATTTCTATTTATATTTTTACATACATATGTTAATTGTAATTGACTTTGAGTTATGTCACAAAAACGGCAAAAATATTCTGAGGAATTAAAATTTTCTGTAAAGCCACCTATTTGATGACTTCCTAAAGGTCCGTTTATACATATCCGTACCGTGTCCGTACCGTACCGGCAAGATTCGATATGAGTATTTACACATATCCGGCTCGCATCCGTGAATATTTTGAAACATCAGTCTTGAGACATACATCTGAACTGTGAACATGGCAGAGCTATCGATAAACGAATTAGCGGTAATAGTATTAATTTTAGACGAAGAGAAATCTTTAAAAAAAAAAAAACGGATTTTATGGGTTTATAAAGCATGGACAAACGAAAAACAAAAGGTGAATTTTTTACATTTTACATATAAAGAATTGGTTGATGATGCAACTAAATTTTATCAATATTTTAGAATGTCAGAACATGCTTTTAATGTGTTACTCAATTTAATTGATAATAAAATACGAAAACAATATACAAGATGGAGAGAACCGGCTAGCGAAAACACGTTCCTACATATGTATAAATTTTTGAAGAGAATTGTGTATTTTTTTCAAATAAAATAATGTTTAATGAATATAAAAATTTATTTGTAAAATAATATTTATCATAAGTGAAATTACCTGGTTGGTCAAGTTCTTGAGAAATACTCTGCCACAGTTTTTCTTTATAAATTCCATCAAGATATTTTGGATGGGAAAGATCGTATAATTCGATGTGTTGTTGCACTAATTCTATCAATTATGTTGAAATAATTTTATCTTAATTCATTTCTTAATTTTAAAAGAATGCTCTCGATATCGCAGATTGATACAAAATAAGACTCAAAAATCTGAATGCTACACTGAAGCCTATTTACATTTGTCAGTACCGACACGTTCAGTGCCGTCCGATCCGTGAAAATATCGTCGCCAACGATATCTGCGGTGCCGGTACGGACACGGACGGCACGGATACGGAATAGTGTAAATACTTACATTTAATCATATGGAATCGAATCTAGCATCTGTGCACGGACGTGTACGGTACGGACACGGTACGGATACGGTACGGATATGTATAAACGGACCTTAAATACTTACATTTAATCATATGGAATCGAATCTAGCATCCGTGCACGGACGTGTACGGTACGGACACGGTACGGATACGGTACGGATATGTATAAACAGACCTTAAATTGTCACCTAACATAGCTACTATAGTACCAATGAAATTAATTGGTTTATTTGCAACAGAAATAACTATTCCATTTTTCTCTAAATTTTTTAAATTATTTATTAAAGGTTCCATAACCTTCTTCCAACCAAAATACGTGATATATTTTTCATAACACAGAAAAACAAGCTGTATATGTTCAACTTTTGACCTCAGGTAAGAAGGTATATTTTCAAGGATCATATATAGACCGACGAGTTTAAACTTTTTTTTGTACCTAG